CCCGCCGCGAGGACGGCGCCGAGCTCCGACCCCGGAGCCACCCTCCCCGGCAGGTGCCCCGAGGCGTGTTGGACCGTAACCCCGGCTGGCTGCGGCGGGGCGCGGCGGGGGCGGGAGGTGTTAAGCCGGCTCCAGGGGGCCGGGGCCGGGGCTCCCGGCCCGCAGCGGGGGGAGGGTCCCACAGGCTCACAGCCCCTATTGCGAGCGCGGCCCCCTGGCCAGCGGCATCCGCGCGGTTCCCCGCCCGGAGACGGACCCGGCCAGCCCCCGCTCCCCGCACCTACCTGCCGCTGCGGTGCTGCCTCCTGCCAGCTCCCGCTCGCGTCAGAAGCGGGCGGGGCCGGGGTGGCAGTCGCGGACCCGGAGAGACCGAGCAGCAAAGGAGCTGGGACCGGGAGCGCAGCAGCCCTGGGTCCCCTTTTTCTCCCCCCCCCACCTCCCCGAAGAGCCCCGATGGCAGCAGGGGCACCCAAGCGGGTCCCTGCTCCCAGAGGATGGGGGGTCTCTGCTGTGCCTTTACCAGCCCGGCCCGCTCTGGGGCCCCATTGCCCCCAGCCAGACCCCTCTTGCTACAGCAGGTGGGGCAGAGTCCGCTGTGCCTAGGCTCACTCACAGCCAGTGTGGGGAAGCAGCTGTCCCGAGTTTATAGGGACAATCTAGGTATTCGGGGCTTAGTCTTATATTGGCACCTATTAACCCACCACCACCACCCCAATTTTTCACACTGGTTATATGGTCACCTTACAGCCAGCCGCTGCTCAGCCCCGAATGACCTGGCCCCAGCCCCTAATGAGGCCTTGTCTGCTTAAGGGGGGGGGGGGGAAGAGGAATTTAACTCTACCCTGCCATGAGTGCAAGGGACTTGACAAGAGGCCCACTGAGCTGCCTTCCAGTCCTACACTTCTATGAGTCTATATTAAAAGTCCCAAGCCTAGGGGGCAGGGCCACCAGCTAACCCAGCTACTGGCCATATGGGGCTTGTTGTGTTCACCAGAGATGCAAATGCAGATGCAAAAACTGCAGCTATATCTCCACTGCTACCATGATCAAACCCTGTGCCCCAACATGCCTTTCAAGATCCGTGGATCCTACACATGCCAATCACAACCTGTGGTGTACCTCATCCAGTGCACTAAATTCCACAATAGGAACTATGTGGGTGAAACCAGCCAATCACTACGCTCTCGAATAAACTCACACAGGAAACTGACAAGACAAAAACACCACATCGCCTGTGAGTGAGCACTTTTCATAACGTGATTGCTCTATAGCTGAGCTATCTCAGTCCTTATCCTCAAAGGAAACCTGCACAACACTTTCAAAAGATGAGCCTGGGAGCTTAAATTCATAATTCTCCTAGACACTAAAAATTATAGACACAATAGGGACACTGGATTTATGGGTCATTACAACAACCTGTAACCCCCAACTGCATAGGCACCAACTCCATGAGTGCTCCGGGGTTAGAGCAACCACAGGAAAAAATTAGTGGGTACTCCGCACCCACCGGCAGCCAAGCTACCCCCATCCCTGTCGTCCCCTCCTCCTCCCCCATGCATGCCATGTCCCTGCTTCTCCCCGTCCCTCCCAGGGCTTCCCTCCTCCTGTCAAACAGGTGGCGCTTAGAACTTTCCAGGAGGGAGGGGGAGGAGCAGGGAGGGGCACACTCAGGGGAGGAGGTGGAGAAGAGGCATGGCAGGCGCAGGGACTTGGGGGAAGGGGGTGGAATGGGGGCAGGGTGAGGGTAGGGCAGGGGCTGGAAGAGGCAGGGTTCCCCCCCACTCTGACATCTGGGGTACAGATATGGGGACCCACCTGAAAGACCCCTAAATTTATATTCTACCAGCTTAGGTTAAAACTTCCCCAAGGCACAAATTCCTTTCCTTGTCCTTGGACAGTATTGCTGCCACCACCAAGTGATTTACACAAAAATTCAGGGAAGGGTCACTTGAAATCCCTATGGCCCCCAAATATCCTGATGGCCAGTCGAAGTTCTTATGGACATGACAAAGTTTGTTTTCCACAGATAAATCCTTGATGGCTCATAACTTTAAATCCTTGCTTCAACTGCCAGTGCGCAACTCTCATACTCATGTCAAGCATACCGCATTTATACTGGGCCCATATGGCCTATAGCATATTACAGCATATGCATCACAACAGTCCCCCTTTTGATACAATCAATGTTACTAATCATGTATCACTTTTATAATTTTGCAAGCTGCTCAGCTTTATATATTACCTGTTCCAAAACTCCTTGTCGTTTTCTTATTTGACAGTACAAACACAGCATGACAAAGATTAGTAGAATCATTAACATGAACAATACAACAGGATGCAATGCCACATTCAGGAAGGCCGTGGCACTGGGAGACCATCCCTTAAAGACATTGTACCAATGGTGGACTGTCAATTCTTCCCCTTCTTTTCCTAATTTTAATATTTGATCATTATGCAACAAGATACTTATCTTTCCCAACTGGGCAGATTTAGATACATCAGGGGTCAGCAACCTCTGGCATGTGGCTCGCCAGGGTAAGCACCCTGGCGGGCTGGGCCAGTTTGTTTACCTGCCTCGTCGGCAGGTTCGGCCGATCGCAGCTCCCACTGGCTGCGGTTCGCCACTCCAGGTCAATGGGGGCTGCGGGAAGCCGCGGCCAGCACATTCCCTCGGCCTGCGCTGCTTCCCGCAGCCCCCATTGACCTGGAGTGGCGAACTGCGGCCAGTGGGAGCTGCGATCGGCCGAACCTGCCGATGTGGCAGGTAAACAAACTGGCCCGGCCCGCCAGGGTGCTTACCCTGGCGAGCTGCGTGCCACAGGTTGCCAACCCCTGAGATACATTCTTTGCATATTGCTTTATTTTTTCACTTTTATCAACCAATTCCTCCCATTGTTCCCAATGTACCCCTAAAATGAAAGGACCAGACCACATCTTTTGGTTCCCCAATGATTTCCTTTTTTAAGAATAAGGGTCCCCAAAACAATTCCTTCAATAATAACCTCTGTTACATTACATTTGCATGACTCAATTGGACCTTTTTCTGTAATATCTCCCCAAAATATATATTTTTCAGTGGTTACAACACAAATGCGCCCATTGCCTACAGCAAACACTCTTGTGCCATTAGGGGCTAAATACTGTATTATACATTGTCCACTTGAATGGTTTAGATGACATCCCTCTAAAGACCAAGTTAGCTGTGGGCACACTCATTTATTTTGCCCCCACTCCTCACAACGTTTTATCAATTCCACCAATTTATAGCCCCCCTCTTCTGGGATCAAATGTCTTCCACTTATTTCTATTTGCCATAATTCTCCGTTAATAATCTTCAGCAGCACCCAGGCACTGCCGTTCTTTTCTTTTTTCCAAGTGTTATGTGATAGCATCCTACCCTTCCAACCCCTTTTACAGTGGTTTGAGTCCAATTAAACCCAAGGTTTTTTTCCCATCTTATAATTTGTTGTTTCTATATATGGGAGTCTTTGAACCATTCAAAGGGCCATTCCCCATTACTCAGTATATGGACTATCCTCTCTATACACTGTATCCCATAAGCTTGCATCTGTACACATCGTATTGCTAACACAGTCTCGTTATTAATTTCTGACACACTCAATAAACTTGCATTTAAAGATGTTTCCAAGGCTTGTATTTGTTTTAGTTGGAGCACTACATTCCTTATTCCTTGCTCCGATAATGTGCCAAAATTTTGTATTACATGCATCTGTTTAGCTCCCAAAAATCTCACCCAAGACATTTTCCCTCATAACGTCTCAATATCAATCAAATTCCACCCCCCAACCCCAGCACCAATGCCTCCCACAGTATATTCTCCTATACCTCTTTTACTTCTTTTAGCTCCATCTCCCCATTGTTATTGCCATGCTAGTAATAGAGGCAAGGCATATGGCTTATACTCTAATTGCGACTCCTCCAGCCAAATCATTTGGGCCACAATAATTGGGGCTTCAATTACGTCCCCCCTTCTATATGGATGTTCATCCACCATGATTCTTGGTGCGGTTTTATTTACTGATATTTGATTAAGAAACACGAAATACCTACCATATCCCCAAAAGTATATTCCCCTATCGATTTTCCTGCAACAGCTTAATTTCACCATTATGGAAGAATTTACCATAGCATCATAGAGCCACACTTTGAGAGACGATGACTCATTCCATCCCACATGGACATTAGCCAATTCTTTTTCATAAATCACATCCCAAGTAGTTACATTAAATCCCAAATTCCAAAAAGTGCAATTCAAGATGCTTATATTCAGGTTATTTTCATTATAACTAAATTTAAACATCAACCAGCCCTCCCCTTTTATAATATAAAAATACCTCCATTGCTTCTCCAAGTCCTCTGGTTTTAAATATTCCCATGTTAAATTCTTACCATTTTCCCATCATATTTCAAAGTTCCCCTCAAAAGGTTTCCCCTCACATCAGTCTTTGTTTGGTCCCGCTTTCTCCATCATGTCCCATGGATAGTTGAATGTATTATGCCCTTTAATCCATACCTCCATTTTAGAGGTGCTCCTATGTGTATATCCTTGCACCCCTAAACTTCCTCAGATAGTCACAAAACATAAAAAACAGAAGCCATATCCCCGCCCTTCGGGGGAGGGGTGGGGGGGAGAATATGGCTTTCCTGTTTTTCCCAAATCATTGCTGACAGTGTTAGAACTTTTACTTCAAAATCAATTTTAATTCCCAGCAAACTTTCCCTTTTTCTGGTTCCACTTTTGCACCCCTCTTGTGTTGAGGTCATGGTCATTATTCCACAAGAATAACGTCCAGTGCCTCTGACTATACCACTCCAAGTGCTTATGTTAAGCCTTTGCTAAACTCTTCTGTCTTCGCTCGAGTTCTGGTATTCTTCTTCCTAAAATGCAATTCGCGCAACACAATTTCCCCCCCAGACAAATAATGCAAAGCAAAGTGAGCATAAGCAGCAAGCCAATTGCAAAAGTCATAGCACCGTACCCACACTCCCAATCCAGGATCTGTTCGGGATATCCTCCAATGCAGTTGGACATTCCCCTTTTATTTCTGTAAAACAAACCAAAAGGTTATCTAATCTTTGCGCCATAACTTTAATTGTGGTGTGTACCCATTTCCCCTTTTTTCCCTGATTAATTTGCACTACAGTGGGGGAAATTTTATTCATAATTGAAAATGGTCCAACCCATTTTGATTCCAAGACATGATCTTTTGGTGTCAGCCTCAGATACATCACCTTATCTCCTATGTTCCACAATTTCGTATCTTGAATGGCTCGTGAGTCCACATATTCTCTTGCTTTCTCAACTGCATCTGTTAACCTAAATTCCATTTTCTTAAATTCAGTCGGTAACTCTTTAACCCATTGGGTAACCGATACTTCCTCTACTTCTCCTGGATACAGTAGAGGGCTCCACAGTCTCATAGGACCTCTGAAGAGAATTTGGTACAGCTGGTACCCTGTACCTAACCGATCACTACTTCGAATTGCCGCCAACACCAATGGTAATGTCTCATCCCAATCTTTACAAGTCTCCTGTACCACCTTTCGTAGAGTTTGCTTAATTGTTTGATTCATTCTCTTTACTGATCCTGATGATTGAGGATGGTAAGGAATGTTTAACTGCTGCTTTATTCCTAAAACTTTCAATAAGCTTTTCACTACTTCCCCCACAAAATGCAGTCCATTATCTGAATCAATTACTCTCAATACCTCACTGCATACCTGCTAAAAACAACATCCCATAGTTTCTTAGCGGTTGTCTCTGCAGTATGGTTCCAGGTAGGAATCGCCTCCACCCATCCGGAAAAAGAATCCACCACCACCAGAAAATACTGATTTCCTCTGGAAGTTTTCGACAACTTATCAATATAGTCCATTTGTATCCTACTTCATGCCCTACAATTCTCTGATGTAACAATGGCCCTGCACTAGATGTTCTATTGCTGTCTGCCACGCATTTTATACAAGTTTTAACAAATCTTCCCATACTCTAGGCCAAATTCCAATTTGTTTTACCTTAAAAAGCATATTCTCTATTCCTTGATGTGCCATGGAGTGGCAGACAAAAAAATGCAAAGCGAAGAAATTATTAATTGGGTGCCCACTTTACCTCTCCTGTCTTTTTGTTCACTGCGTACAGTGAACCTATTTCCATTCTCTGTTCCCAATAGCAGCAGGCTGGGAATAGATGGTGTTCTCCTGGAATGTGGTATATCACTTAAACTCCTACCTTAAGTAGACCATGATTTCTAGGTAGATCATACCATACATTGACTTTTGCTGCTATATGTGTTAACCCTTCTTGTATAATATCCATCAAAATAACAGTAATGACAAGATAAACAACACCCACAACATAATTTTTGTTTTCTAGGTTGTTCTGCTGGCACCAGCTTGCCTGTAGAGTGTCTGAAAAATAAAAAACTTTTCCTAGCCCCCCCTCCCTTGGGGGGGACAGATTATTGCTTAAAAATCTCTCCCTTTTACAAATCTCCTTGCTGGTTGCAAAAAAAACCACACCAGAAGAATTACCTCTATACTTTCCTGTGATTTGCTCTATCGACAGGCCAGATTTCAATGACTTCTACCCTTAAAGAAAAGGGTGAATTATCCCACTGTTCATTTATGAAATTCATGAGGTGGTGTACCTCAGTTTTCCTTCTTGTACTGCAGACCAGGTTTGTAATGGCTTCCCTGCTGTGCCAAGCTTTAAGTTTATTCACAGGTAATAGCTGAGAGTATTATTATGAGATCTCTGAACATGAGATTTATTTTCAATTGCCATTTTTAGCATGCTTAAAATTCTTCCTCCAAAATCACACACATCCATTGTTACAAGGTTACTCACTAGCATTTATTTCAAGGTTTAACATTGTGACAGTCTAATTACTTAGAGCCACTTCAAGGCTTGGTGTTTCTGAGGCCTGGTCTACACTAACACCCCAATTCGATCTAAGGTACGCAACTTCAGCTACGTGAATAACGTAGCTGAAGTCGACATACCTTAGTTCGAATTTACCGCGGTTCAGACGCGGTCCACACGCGGCAGGCAGGCTCCCCCGTCGACTCTGCGGTACTCCTCTCGCTGAGGTGGAGTACCGCAGTCGACGGCGAGCACTTCCTGGTTCGATTTATCGTGTCCAGACCAGACGCGATAAATCGAACCAGGAAGTTCGATTGCCAGCCGTCGAACTACCGCGGTAGTGTAGACCTGGCCTGACATTGCTTCTTTTGTACATTTCACCCCTGCTCTTGCTTCAGAGGTACACTCTCTTAACTTTGTGCACCCTTCCTGCAGTACTTAGCTGCTATTTATTACCAAAATAATAAAAAAAGGATCCAGAATCTCTCTCCATTTTTCCAGTTGTGGCTGCCTCTGCCATGGCCGCATTCTTTGGTCTTCATTTAAAAAGATATTAAACTTTATAAACACATGGAATTATCCAAAGGGTTAAATGCTAAATACCAAAGCCACATCATACTAGCTGGCCATGTCTGGCAAAAGAGTCTGTCAGTGTTGCAACTTTGGATGTGAGATTCAAATGGAGTTTTAGTGGCATCATTTTTTTATTTAAAGACAAAATAAAACAAACCCAAATTATCTTAAACCTACAAACAGGATTTTACAAACCATGAGTGTTGGTTTAGGTCCTTAAAACCTTGCATAGTTACACAAAAATATGTACACACACAAATTCTTTTTTACCTAATATCCCTTGCACTGCTCTAATTATTTTTTCATAATACTGTACCCAGATTACTTTCCCATTTTGTATAATCGAAGGCAGTCACGTTAAGTTCCAGTAAATAACTGTGTGTGTATATGTGTATAAACACACACACACACACCCTAGTGATTTTGATTACAAACTATTCCTGTGAGAAAAGGGCCCATTTCCCTCAGAATAATTGTAAAGATTTCTGGGGATAACACATAGTGGTAGCAGTAGCCACTCTACCTAACCCCCTTGTATAATTTGTTTAACTACCACGGTTCCACTCAATGTGACTGTACTGAATTGCACATATATTTATATTTACATAACTGGGTTTTATTATTAAACCAAGAATGCCCTTTTTATAACACCACAACTGTAACTTTTTAACATTTTCACAACTCCTAAGTGTTTACTTCCCTACAAAGTCTGTAGTATTAATTTTTGCAAAAGCTACTTGTAACTCTTCACTTATTTTAAATCACTTACTTCTGCATTCAATTCTTTAAGGTGCAATACAGCTGCCTTACCCTGTGCTTTTTTTTTTTTTTTTTTTTTTTTTTTTTTTTTTTTTTTTTTTTTTTTATTTTTTTTTTTTTTTTTTTTTTTTTTTTTTTTTTTTTTTTTTTTTTTTGGTTTTTGTTTGCACCTCAGTTGATTTGCAGAAGTACTATTCTCTGTTGCAATTAATTATTTCTGAGCAACTTCACTCTCCCTTTTTCACTTCAAAACATTTTTTTCCCCTTCACTCCGACCAAGTTGCAGCTTCTGTCTCTTAAGGTGGTCTGTTAACTTTGCTTCTGACTCCAAACCCTGTTGTGCCAAGTTATCTTTAACCACCCCTAACTCTAGTTTACAACCCTCCAGTTGCCTTTACTGGAGTAGCACCAAACTAAAGAATTACTGGCAGTCTCCCATAATGCTGCCTTTACCCTAAACCTCTTACAAGTGGACTTCAGTGCCTCCTTTCCTTCTCCCTCTCCCCTGGTTTTTGTCACACAGACAGAGAGCAGAAGACCAGAAATCCAAAGTGCAAACAATGCAATGTTTATTGGGGTTAATTCCAAGCACATATATTCATAGCTCTACACGCTGGCAGAGTCTGTTCCCCAGTATTCCGTTCCCAGCTCTGATGCCACAGAGTCTTGCCAGTGTCCCCATTCCATCCTTCTCTTTTCCAGTTCTCTATTTTGTTTTCCCAGCTGTTCCAACTGAGTCTGCATTACTTGTGCTTGCCATACTTCCTTCTCTAAACTTTCCTGGCAAATTTTAAGACTTTCTTGCAGGGTCTGTAGCCCTGCACATGCCTCCCCCTTGTATTCAATTACTTTTTTCGTAGCCCACAACCATATCACAGCTGCCTGCTTCTTGCTGGCATTAGGCTTGTATAGCTGTACATACATTAGAAAACATGTTTGAGAAGTATCAATTATCACATCAGGTTCCAGTGCACCCTCCCTCCAAGGGCAGGTCCCTAATGCAATAATCTCCTTCCCTAACATAGAAGGGGCTTTAACTTTAATCCATTGGGGTGCCTCCTCTACCCTTTTACGCTTTTTAAACATTATCTGAATAACCTCACACGGTATCTCCCCACGCACTCTCACTCACTTAACTACTTAATGTAACACGTTCCCAAAACTCCACGCAGTATCTCCCCATGCATACTTTTAATCTCACAAATCCCACAAATAAGGAGTCACCCTTTAGTCTCCCCCAACACTGAGACCCCCGTCTCATAATCCAGCACTCCTTATATCTCTCCCCCACTTGCAATTCTCCATCAAGTGTTAGGCTCTGATAGAGGCCTCCCTACTGGATGCGGGAGCAGGCAGATACCGGACACAGTGTTGGTATATAATACTCTACATATTTTTGTTGATTACAATATAAACCTCACTCACTCCACAATCACACTTCTTTCATACTACACCAGAATCTGAAGATCCAAAGGAAATCCCGATGGCCAGTCGAAATTCAGTCCGATCACAAGGCGTGGGGAGCCCCACATTACACGCCTCTTCTTTTCCATGATTTTGGTGTCTGACTCCAACTTAGCTATAGCAACAACCTTTTTTATAGACCAGTCCATCGCATCATTAGCTCTTTTTCTGTTTACTAAACCTTTCATCCATAACTCCAGAGGAGCAGGTCCGGGCAGGCCACCATAATCCAAGACATTCCATTTTCACTTATGGACATGACAAAGTTTGTTTTGCACAGATAATTCTTGACTGCTCATAACCTTAAATCCTTGCTTCAGCTGCCAGCACACAGCTCACATACTCACGTCAAGCATACAGCATTTATACGAGGTCCATATGGCCTATAGCATATTACAACATGTACATCACAACACAATCAGTAAGGACTCCGGTGGCACCTTAAAGACGAACAGATTTATTTGGGCATAAGCTTTCATGGGTAAAAAAAACTCACTTCTTCAGATGCATTGAGTGAAAATTACAGATGCAGGCATTATACAATGACACATGAAGAGAAGGGAGTTACCTCTTAACACAATCAGTCCTTTTCAAACTCAGCCATTTCCAAATTCTGTTCTCAGTAGGTTTGTATTATGGGGTACTAGCTTTTTTTTAAAAAATCCCTCATTAAAGTAATTGGTTACGTTTTGGTTGTCTCTCTTTGTTACTAGAATTCTTATCTATCAAAAAGTTGTGTCATTTTATTAGTGGAAATATACAGAATGTCAGTTTCTGAGATTCCTCTTCTTGCTGGAGGACTTTGACCTTTGGAGGATCTGGATAGGGATGCCAGAGGTGGCTGAAATCTGACTTGCAGGTCTCCCACTGTTCAGTCTGGGGGAAAAGGAATGGCAACGCTCAACTGGCCATTAAGGTTTAAAAGCTGCAGCTACAGTTTCAGCCTCCATTGATGCCACTGTCCAAGGTCTGATGAAAGTCCTCCAGCTAAGAGAGACTGGCACCCCATGTTACTGATGTAAAAATAGATTTTATTTATTTTAAGAAAAACACAAGGCTTTCTTTATATCTGAAGATGAAATCTTGGAAATGTTTTGATGGGCTGCCTCCCCCAGAGAAGCAGGGATTACTTGATTTGGAGGCATTTGGGAATTCTAGTTGTGTTAGTTCATGCTCAATGACAGTACGCCAGAGCATTTTGGACTCTCAAAGCTATAGTGTTAAAAGGAAGCCAATCGATGAAATTCCACTTTGTACCATTTGGCATTCCCCAGGAACCTGGCCAGTGGAACTGTATCGGCTCAGAAACTTGAGTATGAACTTTTGATGCTGTATATGGTAACTGAACTTGTACTCCTAGTCTTAACGCCTACCAAGTAATCTGAAATTTCTAGTAGGTTGCCTTGGCTCCACCATATTCTGTTAACTAGCCCCTGGATAAAACGGTTACTGACCTTCCGTAACTGTTGTTCTTTGAGATGTGTTGCTCATGTGCATTCCATGCTAGGTGTGCACGCACCATGTGCACAGTTGCCAGAGATTTTTTTCCCTTAGTGGTATCCATGGGGCTGGCCCTAGCACCTCCTGAAGCCCTGTGCCTATGCGCCTGTATAAGGGGTGCTGCCAGTCCCACACTTGCTCAGTTCCTTCTTGCCGGTAACTCTGACAGAGGGTAGGAGGCTGGGTAATGGAATGTACATGAGCAACATATCTCAAAGAGCAACAGTTATGAAATTTCAGTAATCATTTTTTCTTCTTTGAGTGCTTGCTCATGTCAATTCCATGCTAGGTGACTCAAGCAATATCTCTGAACGTGGGCTTGGAGTTCATGAACGTGCTGACTGCAACACTGCCCTCCCAAAAACTGGCATCATCATGGGCCTGTTGCGTGATGGCATTGTGGGATGCGAAGGCATAAATCAATGACCATGTCGCAGCCCTGTAAATGTCCTGGATTGGTGTCTGTGCGAGGAATGCTGCTGATGAAGCCTGGGCCCTTGTGGAATGGGCTGTCGTGATGGCTGGAGGCAGAACCTTCATAGCAAATCAGGATGCAGGCGGTTATCCAGGACGAGATGCTCTGGGATGACACCAGCAGACCTTTCATCCTGTTCACTACAAAGAGCTGTGTTGACTTTCGGAAGGGTTTGGTTCTTTCAACATAAAAGTACAGGGGCCATCTATGTCTATGGTATATAGTCAATGTTCCTCATCAGTTTTGTGACGCTTTGGGAAGAAGACAGGCAGAAAAGTGTCCTGATTGTGGTGGAAATGTGACACCAGCTTTGGTAGGAAGGCAGGGTGGGTATGTAGGTCAGTACCTGAGGCTCAGAGAAAAGGAAAAAACCTCAAAATAAACATATCCAATTGTGCAATGCTATAGATGGAAAATATTTCTTCCTGATAGCACGACCATTCCCACTCTATTCAAACAACAGTCTGGAGGTTTTATTACATTTCTCTTATCTTAAAATAGGGTGACCAGATATGCCGATTTTAGGGTCTTTTCTTATATAGGCTCCTATTACCCCTCACCCCCGTCCCAATTTTTCACATTTGCTGTCTGGTCACCCTATCTTAAAAATATGTATGTTAGAGAGAGAGGGATTTCATTGACTGATACAAATACAATTTACCTTATGTAAAATATACTGAGCATTTAGAAGCACAGTTCTTTGACCCAGTGATATAATTCCTTCCTTTTGTGCTGAACCTGAGAGCACACAAAGTTCATATTTCCCCATACCCACCTTTGATCATAGCCAATTACAAAAATGTATTGCTGCACTTGCTAGAATATCTATAATATAAACCATACGTATCAGACCCTGAGCAAGTTACTTTATTAAGCAGTATTAAAAAAGAATTGATCCTGCAAATCAATGCAGTGTCTTCTGTGAAGCTTCATGTATCTATAGTCAATACTTCTAGGGGTTGGATATGTTAATTTCAAACCAATTACAGATTTAATGTCAGGAGTCAGAGCTCTTCTTTTACATAGCCAACTTCTATCTGCATTGAGAGTCCCCCTTGTCACAGACCTCTAGGCAAGCAAACACACACACGCTTAACTATTTTTGCAAGTAGTTCCATTGTAATCATGGGGCCTTAAGCATTAGTTTCAGAGTGAAATAACTTTTTCTGGCTAATTTAGAAGACAACCAGTAGATCCACAGAAGGTCAGTATAGTATCCATACATTTAGATATTCAATATTTGATCTCCCAAATTTCACTACAGTTTTCCAGTTTTATCTGGCCTGCCCTACAGGTTGTCATTTCTCACATGACCAATGTGCACTTTGCAACTCTACTCTTCTCTTCATTTCAAAAGCATGATTTTTTCCTATCATTTACAAAAATACCAATTTCCTTCCACCTGTAATCCACTGAAAGCCAATACATTGACTAGTTCGTTGTTGTAAATCCCTGTATCTTAAACATATCCCAGGCCCTTGTGGTCCTCTCCAGTGCAGACTAATTTCTTAGCAGTTGTAGCCAGAACACTTTGGATAAGTATACACAGACTACTCTATTACAACCTGCAAACATTAAATCCTCCACTGTGCCAGGATAGGTCAATGAAAATCCTGCCTCCTTTTCTCAAAAAAGGTATCACTTCTAAAACTTGCCATCTCTCCTGGCCAGCAACCTCTGTGGGGTAGTTCTGGTCAACATCAGTCTCATTTGCTTAACAATACACCGCTGCTTCAAAAGGGTTATATTTTCCACAAAACTGTAAGAGGCTTTAGCAGTCATTATAATTTATGCAAGAGGAAATTATACCATCAGATCCCTGCAGTTTGCTTCAAAAATTGACTCAAAACAGTACTGGAAATTTATTAAAAATCAGCTGCAACTATGGCATATATTTTCTTAAAAAACAAACCAAAAAACCCCCCACACTTGCTCCATTAACTTAATACTTATACCTGACCAATATTAAACACACTGCCAGCACTTCTCATCAATTCTTAGACGTTAGGAGATGGAAGAGACTTATTCGATCACCTCGTCTGTCTTTATGCCAGGTCACTGACTGTTCAGTACAGTACATTTTGTAATGCTTCTAGTGAATCTTATTGGATTAGGTTGTATCATTTTACGCATGGATTTCCAGCCTTCATAGGTTTACTTTGTGCTCCTTGGTGCTTGCCTCATACCCCAAATTAGTATTATCAGTGAAGTAATTAACATTTTACATCTGTTTAATCCTTTGCCCCTCTTCCAGATCATTTAAAATATGTTTAGTTTTTAAGCATAATATTACTGATCACTGTGGCATCTTTCAGCTGAACTGCCTCCATCTTTCAAACTGTTCATATTCATCTAAAAATGTATTTGTTGGGAGCTGAAGATCTACAATTCAGAGTAAGATGAGCTTTTGCAGGATATGCATGGCAATGTCTGACTGTGCTTGGTGGCAGGGTGAAGTGGGTCTAACCTGGATGGACTGAGTAAGTTAGTGATAAAGAACAGATTAATGAACTGCATTTTTAACTACTGCAATTGTATCACCTAGGCTAAAGACATAAAATATCACTAACAAAACTCAGAATATAAATCTGGACTCAGTTAACATAAAAGATACCTGAATGTTCATTATACTTAATCTGCTTTAATACAGTTTTTTTTTCTAGAAACACACTGTTCAAAAAGGGTCTTAAAAGTGCCCTTTCAAAAGCTTATTTTTTCCCCAGAGGTTTCTGCTGTTTTCGGTGCTTCTTTTCTGCTGTCATCATTCTAACGTTGTCATTAATATAACACTGAAGGAATATTACTGTGTATCCTGCTGGCTAGCTATGCACAGTGGAATGAGAATTAATTAGCTTTCTTTAACCTGTGAATGCAATCCTGAAAGGCTTTCAGTGAAATCATCCATTTACCATGTACACAATCAGCATTCTAATAAAATCCACCAAGACAGCTTTCAAAATGGAGCTGCCCAGGGCCATTAAAGTGACATATGCCTCATCTTTCTGTGGTTTGAAAGGTGTTCAAGGCTGTTGGCAGCAAGTGTAGTTCTGAAGAAGTTGGACGTCTGGGTGGCATTCGGTATCTGACATTTTTCCAAAATTTTGTATTTGCTAAATAAGATTTCTCTGTGAAGTCTCCTTTCCATCTGATGGCCCCATGCTTTTGCTTAATGTATTTGATTGATTCTGGCATGTTCGTATAGTCCTTTATTTTCTCTAGCTCAATCAGAATAACTTTAATTCCATCCCGGACAAGAGCACTGTACACAGCCAGTTGCTGTTCGAAGATATCCTCTAATAAACTGCAACTTGATGATTCTGGTACTAATACAATTATAAGCCTTCTGCTCTGCTTAATGGTTTCATCAACAACATTGATCACAGCTGTAAAAGACACAAGAAATGATCAACTTTTAGCTCAGACAAAAGAATCTCTCTCCCCCCATTAAAAATAGATATTTACTTTTTCTTATGTCAGCATAATTAAAGTGGCAAACCCCCTCTAATATAGACACAGTTATACTGGTATAAAGTGTCTATGCCAGCATAGCATATTCCAGTAGAGAAGCAAAATAAGCTATACACATACTTTTACACAAGTATAATTGTGTCAACACTAGAGAGGTTTTTGGTGGCAAGAAAACCATACACCTTACCAACATAGCTATGCTGGTAACATTTTTAGATGTGCACTCTAGACCTTACTTTAATGATTCAGCTGATTTGTTTTTGTTCTTTGTAATTCATGCAAAATTACCTACCTTATAGTAACTGGAGGTTCTTCAAGATGTGTGGCCCCTATCTGTATTCTACTGTGGATACACATGTTTTGCATGCACCCAGAGCTGGAGAATTTTGAAAGCAGTGTCCGTTGGTCTGCACATGTGCCTTGGTTCACCTTGTGCCACCGACCGAGGAGATAAAGGGCGGGGTGGACTGACTGCCTCTGCAGTTCCTTCTCCACTGCAAATTACAGAAGATCCAAAGCAGAGGGGAAGGAGGGCAGGTAGAGGAACACAGATAGGGACCGCACATCTTGAAGCGATGCCAGAGATGCTGCTTGCCCTCTTGTGGAATGAGCTCTTACCCTAGGTGGGGGGTTGGGGGACGGGACAATTAAACAGTCAGATCCATTTTGAGATTCTTTGAGAGGATATAGTCTGATCCCAGTATGTCCAGTACCAAGGGTGGAGGTTTTTACTCAAGAGCAACCTTCTCTATCACTCTCCGCTGTAAGAGGGATTCCACTTTGTCTGAGAATCTTATCATGAGAGTGGCCCCCAAGAGGGGGTGAGGAAGGAGGTTTTGGAGGGGGGAGGGACAAACTCTATCGTACAGCCAGAATGGATGATGTTCAGCACCCATTTATCCATTGTACACCAGCTGTTGAAAAAGAGTGCTAGACAACCCCAAAAAGTGTGTTGGAGTGGGAGATGTTGGACTTAGCAGTCTGCAGATGCCAGATCGCAATCTGGTGTCAACAGCGCCCTAGACTTGTAGGCTTTCTTGTCATGGCTCTGAGACATAGGACTTACTAGGTTGTCTTGGGCTGAGCTTATAGACTTGCTCAGTTTAGACAGGGCTGAATCCAACTTCTTCAAAGTGGATTTGGAAGAGGACTTAGCCTAATGCTCATGAGAATGCTCCCTACTCTCCCAACAAGACCCCATCAAGAGATCTGTGGGGGTAGACTTCTTTGCTCCTGAGTCAGACTTCATGGCAGGAGGTGCACTCTTAGCAGAATCAGGCTGATGTATGCTGGGGGAGGGAGGGAATCCCCCAGCCTGGTCTGATTGCTGCCTCATGGCCTTTTCTATTAGGTGCTTCCTATGGCAAAGTTCCTGCCCTTGCCACGATGTGGACTCCCCCAAGGCAGCACACGCAGCATTGGTGATCGTCACTGCCTGAGAAGGATTGCAGGGAGGAAGCACAAATTTTGAAGCCCAGAGTTCTGGGCATAGTCCAGTACCCAAATTGGGATGGGGGGGGGGTGTTGCTCCCCAGGTCGGGAGAGACTAACTAAATAACCATAAAACACTAAAACTATCAGATAAAAACTAACATTCTAGAACTACAAAAACTATTGACAGATATCTATTAATAAATAAAAGAGAAAGCCAAAGCTTTGGACTCTAGAGATTCTGAGCTGGACCATGGTGAGAAGGATATGGAGAGGCAGTCGGTCCGCCTCGCCCTTTACCTCCTCAGTCAGAAGCACGAAGTGAACCTGGGTGCATGTGTGTGGACCAACAGACACTGCTTTCAAAGTTCTCTGGCTCCGGGTGTATGGAGTGAATGCATATCCACAGTGGACTACACATAGGGACCAGCACTCGAAGAAGAAAGTCTATTGCTAGTTTTCACTACCCCAGATGAAAATCATCAATTAAAAATGTTACTAAAAACAAATTCTCTCAATTTAAAGATTTCTTTCAGAAATATGAATTCTACAATTATAACTAGTAACAAAAAAATCCATTTGGCTTTGTATCCATATTTCAAAATCAATTACCTCAGAAGCATTTTTTATACTCTGTTTTAATATAAATGTAAATGTACAGTACAAAATAAGAGCAAGTTAACAATGAAAAACTGTCTTATCTATACTAAGCAAATGTGATAGTGCAGAACTATTAGAAAGAACACACATTCAGTACCAATTGGTTAGGTTTTATTGTACTAAAACCAATCAACTTCTTGATGTTCTATATCATACCAGATCTCTCTCTCTCTCTCTCTCTGAGATTACTAGCAGATTAGCCTTTCCTCCCTCCCAGAGCACTGCTCTTCCACTTTTCCTGGTCTTAAAGGTAACAAGAAAGAGTTGCTCCTATTATGCCAAAAACACTCTATTCCGAACTCTGCCCATAGACACGTTGCAGAGAGATTTAGGAGTAGAGTGCCAGCTAGTTGGAGATGTGTGAAGCACATGTATGGGAGCACAAGAAGTGGCACTCACATCTACAGGGCATGGGAAAAAGGTGGAGTATGTCATAGGGAAAGGTGAAAAGGGCAGGTGGAAGCAAACTTCACTGAACATTCTCAGAAAGAGGCAAAGGTACCCAAAATTTCAAGGGTTTGTCTGTATTGGGGGGCAAGTGGGGCCAGCAGTTAAGTTCCCCCTACAAACAAAACGGTGCAACTGAAGGATCCATGGAGGAGATGAAAAAATGAAAGGGAAACATGAGATGGGGGAGGAGGAAATAAAGAGGGAAAGGAAAATCAAATGGGAAATGAAAGAAAATGAGGAATCAGGGGAAGACTGCAGAGGAGGAACAACAGGACAAAAAACATTGACTAGAGAGAGAATAGAGAGAAAACCAGAGATGGGATAACAAAAATATGAAACCAATACAAGAATCAGATAGAAGAGGAGAGTATATCCTGCCAGGACCAATGCTTTTTGGTCCTGGCAGGATATACTTAGGACACAGTGCTAGAACCAGCCCTTCTTGAAGCACTGAGAATTCAGGGACTATGGGGAATGCTGCTAATACTTGATCGGAAGCGGGAATTAACAGAAGTTGGGTGTGAAGTCTTACATGAATTTTTCTTGGGAGAGGAACCCTGAACCTTCCCATTTCTAGATGTAGTATCCAAAACCTTTAGGCAAGCTACTCTCTTCCCTTGACCTCTCTCTACTGAAGTTCAGCTTGGAGATGCATTGGGTTTAGTTGCCAAGTGGCCTCCTCTCCTCCCACTAGTAGTTCCATTCCAACCTAGCTCCAATTTAAAATATTTCAGAGCATCTATATTCCCGAAAAAAGAACAGGAGTACTTGTGGCACCTTAGAGACTAACAAATTTATTAGAGCATAAGCTTTCGTGGGCTACAACCCACTTCTTCGGATGCATATTTGTTAGTCTCTAAGGTGCCACAAGTACTCCTGTTCTTTTTGCGGATACAGACTAACACGGCTGCTACTCTGAAACCTATATTCCCGAAATTACTATTATAAAAATTGGTGCCTTACTTTCCTGCCTTATGTCATGATGTGACCCATGGGACCATACTGATGTGAAACTTTCCTGCCCTGCTCTAGTATTCAAAGAGAATGATGAGAAAATTCACCCAGTTCTACTTTAAAGGCAATGAGAGAATACAATCATTTTTCATTTTACCTGTTCCTGGTAAATCATCTCTTCCAAGTATAAACAGATTATATCCACACTGTCTCTCTAAAACCTCAGGAAGCAGCTTTAGCACAAAGTTATCTGGTGCGTAGATGCAATCTACTTTGTTGATTTTTGGATACAACACATATGCATCATAGATCTTCCCATCTGAAACTGAACAAGATAGAAGCAGTGAGATTTGTAAGACAAAAATTATTTTAAAGGAATAAGAATATGTTCCCACCTTTTCTATTTCCCACCCTGATTTCTGTTTTAACATTGAGCCAGAAACTACCTTATCACATTATCACCTTGTCAGCTGCAGAAGTAGCTCTTGGTGACATCAGCCTTTCATTACAAGAACTGCTCTGCAGCTGTAAATATTTTGTAGTATGCATGTCTCGCAGTTAGAAATAGTTTCCCTGCAAAGCAGAGAGCAGATAAACCTGAAAAAGGTTTGTTTCTAGCAGATTTACATACCTGCTACACTACCTTCACTACCTACACAAGCCAACGTCTGGTAGCTTACATATATAAGGCATTTCACACCCTCTGTTCAAAGTGCATTTAAGCCCAGATTTTCAAATGGCAGACTTCTTTTTTTGTCGGAGCACATTTTGCACTTTCAAAGACTGCACACACATTTTTTTTCACCTTCAATGAATATTAGGTTCACATCTTACAGTTAAAATTATAATGTTTTCCAACAAGCACACTTTCTCCCATCCTGTTCCAATGCCTCATAGGAGTGCCATATCAATATCTACAAAAGTACCGCATTGTCCTCTTTTGAACCCCTCCATCTCTGTTATGATACTTACACTGGACAATGATTAGAACAGTGGTGTTCTGTGATCGCTGCTTATCACGCTAACCAGTATCATTCCATTGGTACCTTTGCATTCCCCTTGACTGTCTATCATATCCACCTGTTGTCTATGGAGTCTTAAATTGTAAACTATTCAGTGCAGAGATGGTCATAATTTTGCTATATGTTTGTATAGAGCCTAGCACAAGGGGTCTCTGGGCTTCTAGGTATTCCCACAATACAAATAAAAATGACACCACCAAGATGGCTGTACTGAAGTACTTCGGCATCTAAAAAAGGGGATTTGCACTCATAACTGACTTTGCGTAAAATACGTTGGAGAAGTTTGTGTCTGCAAAAAAAAGGACACTGAGTAGAAGCCCTTTTAAAAATCTGGTACTCAATCTTTTCATCATCCATATTGCAAACACAACGCAACACACAGATGGAAATTCCAAACAAGCTTGCTCATTCAGGGACATTTCCTGCATCTGCTCCCGCTTAAAAAGGCTACACAAAATAAATGTAGCTTCTTAGTCTCTTAAGAATTCTTAATGAATCCTGGGATTGTATGCCATGTACATTAGCTACATGGCTATACACACCTACCTTCTTTACTCAGAAAATGACGACAGGATTTTCGATACCAAAGCACAATGTCAATCTTGAAATACTTGTAGATTAATATGGCAACAACTATTACAAACACTGGTGCAAGGAGTCCTCCAATCAAGTATCCTTGAAAATTTCGAACTACATCAGCAAGGGAAAAATATGTAATATATTGAAATGGCAGCACTGGTGAAGTTAGGAACATTCAAACAAAACTGTGTAGAATTCTGAAATTAGAGCCCTTTTAAGCTGTCTAAAGACAGTTATAACTGTGTGAATAATCCATAATAAAAATCTGACATCTCCCTCCTCTTTTTCTGTTCATGAATTTTCTGCAAACTGATCGTGACTTTCTTGAATGTATTCATTATTCCAAATAATTGCTGACAAATAATTCTAGGTCTACAGCTTGTTTGTAAGCAGTTCATTGAAGGTATTCAATACTTGAAATTTATGCCATCTTGACTGGACAGGTGGGAACATGGAACGCTTTGGTTCTCTGGCTGGAGAAGCACCATTCTCAGAACCAGATGTCTGGCGTAAATTCAGAATTTGCTTTTCCATATGTATCCATCTGCCTTACCACTGATGTTTTGGTGAATAATCCTATCAGCAAATCTATAGTAACTTCTTTGACATTAATGAAGCTACTTCCAGATTTACAATGATCTTATAGCCCCTTTCCTGCCGATTATCCCAAATTTTCATACACCCTTAGTCTGTCCCTTTTCAAAGTGTTCCCCTCATCTCCTTTTTAAATTAACTCCTGACTACGAGAGCAGTTCAGAACATTATTAAGACTGAATGCCTGACCTGGCTGTCTTAATGCAATGTAGGCTGCAACTTCACCAGCATAACACACAAACTGATGTCCATAATCCTCCTGCTTCACTTCTGTGATGTTGAGCGTCACTGTAGATAATAAGTACCCATCTGGGAAAGAATCTTCTCTATCCAAAAAGGTAGTGAATAATTAAAATAATAAAAGCCACATTAGGCAGGTTTCTTCATTTGAAAACAAAACAGGACAATGGTTATATTTTATCTTCAGCAATGTCTGAAATGTGCCTTAATCTTTTCAAAACAGACAGATATCTGGAGTCTACGATTATATATTATCTGAATTACAGATGTATCTCGGAACTCCAGTCAAGAGCATGACCTCATGTGTAGACACATTGAGAGCTTCTGATGCTGTCTCCCAATCAAAATAGACTAGATTTACATACATCTAAGAATCTTATTCATGCTATCATTGCCAAGTGAAAGAGAAAGACATGAGGCAATTCTATATAGAGACAGTGCTGCCAACTCTCATATTTCAAACAATCAATTTGTAAGCATATAGAGGATAATACAGGGATAAGTAATAGCCAGCTTGGATTTGTCAAGAACAAACCACACCAAAAAACCCTAATTTCCTTCTTTGACAGGATTACTGGCAAAGTGGATAAGGGGAAAGCAGTAGACATAATTGAGTATGAGCTAACAATGTGATGCAGTTGTGAAAAAAGGCTAATATTCCAGGGTGCACCAACACGAGTGTTGTATGTAAGTGACAGGAGCTAATTGTTCCACGCTACTGGGCACTGGGGAGGCCTCAGCTGGAGTACTGTGTCCAGTTTTGGGAGCCACACTTTGAGAAAGATGTGGACAATTTGAAGAAAGTCCAGAGGAGAGCAACAAAAAACAATAAAAAGGTTTAGAAAACGACCTATGAAGAAAGGTTTAAAACAAAAAAACAAAAAAACACCTGGATATATTTAGCCTTGAGAAAATAAGACTGAGATGGGACCTGGTAGCAGTCTTCAAACACAGTCAGGGCTGTTACAAAGGGACACTGATCAATTGTACCCCTTGACCACTGAAGCTACAATAAGCAGTAATCGGCTTAACCTGCAGCAAAGGAGATTGAGGTTAGATAGTAGGAAAACTTTCTATCTGTACATTTAGGTAAGTACTGGGATAGGTTACCAAGGGAGGTTGTGGAATCCCCATCATTGGTTAATAACATGTTAGACAAAACACCTCTCTAGGATGGTCTAGGTCAGTGGTGGGCAAGCTGCCGGTCACATGCGGCCCGTCAGGGTAATCCGCTGGCAGGCCGCCAGATAGTTTGTTTACATTTGCATGGCCACCCACAGCTCCCATTGGCCAGGAACGGCAAACCGTGGCCACTGGGAGCTTCAGGCAGATGTGCAAATGTAAACAAACTGTCTGGCGGCCCACCAGCGGATTATCCTGATGGGCCGCAGGTTGCCCACCACTGGTCTAGGTCCTCCATCAGCATGGGGCGCTGCACTATATGACCTCTCCAGGTCCCTTCCCTTCGCTATATTTCTATGATTTTATTACAAAGTCTCATGATATTTGGCATTTTTCTGAAAGCCCCAGTTCACATAATTGAATACATTTCTTGAGAATCTCAGTCTTCACTTAAAAAGAAAAAAATTATAGCCCTCATAGCTGAAGAGAAAAGCTTAAAAATGTGACCCAAGTGCACCCCAAAAACCAAAAGGCATATAGAAAGAACCCCAACTCTACTTTTATAAATCTCATGTTTTTTGAGACAATTTTGCTATTTTGGAGGACCTAACTCATGATTTTTGAACTCTCAGGCTTGGCAAAACTGCTAGTATTCTATTTTCTAAAAAGCACATGAGGTTTCTATATGCAGCTGTTGGACAGATTTGCTTCAGTCATACACTTAACTTTCAGGAATATTTTTCTTGGGGTAGAGGGTAAAACCAATGCAGACTGGTGATGCTTGGGGGTTATATCCCCTGAGTGGTGCCATGCCCAGTGAACAGATTTTTTGTAAAGCAAAATGTTCCAAAGTACCCATGTTATTTTTTTCTCCTAGGTCTATTGAAGTTTCGTAGGATACTAGTTGTCCAAATTAGTCTCTAAGAAACACAGAATTAGGATCCTGCCTGGGAAGCAGAGAGAGGCATTATAATTACAAACACTAAGGATATTTTCATACACTGCAGTCAGTGATCAACTGATATACATTTTTATATGCAAGTATACTTACTGATTTCCCTCTTGGACTCTCCCCATAAACAAAAAATTGACTAAAGTATTATTGACTCTCCAGGATATTCCAATTGAATTATCTTTAAAACTTGATACGTTGCAGTCCACAACAACATTGGACCCTGAAAAATAGCATTAGAAAATGGCCATGAGATACCGTTTACTCTGCATAGTCATGAGATCCACTCATGTAAAGGAGCATGGGAAACATTAGCAACCAACACCAGTAAATATGTAAAGAGCAATCTGACAGAACAAAGGAGGCAGTTTGCAGAATTATGAAGCTTTAGCAGATCCCTAGTCAGACCATCAGCTGTTTGTTTTACAAGAGCTAACCTAGCAAATTATAAAGAGCCCAGTCAATTAATCCCTTCAGAGAATAAATATGTTAATTGTATTCTGAACAAAATGACCATAATTGCCTCTTAAATTTGACATATCTATGGATGAAATAATGTTCTCTCAGGTTTATGGCTTCAGTGCAAAGCTTGAAAAGGTCATAGCAGAAAATTAATAAAAGAACGAATACAAAACTCTTCCATCCACAACAATTAGGAGAGGTTTAAATATATCACAAACCTTGTCATTTTCTACATTTGGTCCAGATACAGCAGATCACTAAGATCTTTATCCTGCAAAAATTTTCTTGAAGTGTGCTGGACAGACTCTTATTGTAAAAGACATAACACCATATTTGTTGAAAGTAGAATTCCAGAACCACTTTTTATTATTGTTAGTATAGCACCAAAAGCGAACTAAATGCTTTTTCACACAAGTATGAAGACAAGGGGTACTCCTGGGGGAAGTCTGCGTCTAAAAGTTCTGTACACAATATTTTAAAATTCTGCAAAATTGTGCATGTTTTATTTGTCAACATAACACAATATAAACACACCAGTTTCAATTATTTTGGCAATTTATTTCAAAATACCTGTCAGCAAGTATGTCTGTAACAATACAGACAGAAAAAAGATTCAGGAAATGGTTTTTTTTTGACAAATAGGTTCCTTACTAGGCATACTAATACAGAACTTTGAGTAATTAATTTAAACTACAATACAGAACTGTATTTCTGCACCCCATGGAAGCAGTGCAAAGACGTGGGGGAGCAGGAAGGAGCCTCGGAGTGAACTTGGAGGGTTGTTGGGTGTGAGTGGGAGAAGTATGGAACAGTTTCTGTTGCGGGCAGGATTCTTAGGGAATTGGGGAGCCCCTCCCATGCAGACCCCAAGCCTCTCCTATTCAGACAGGCACATCTGCCCCCATCCCCATATAGCCCCAGACCCTCCTACCCCCCATCATATGGCCCTGGAGCCCCCTCCCATTCAGCCCCTGGCTCGATGCTGTCACCCCACTAGCTCCTGAGCCCACGTCCCAGCCTGTGCTCCCCATTAGCTCTTCTGGACCCCAGCCCATGACCCCCCCCAGAAACTCCATGTGCCCCACTCTAGCTTCACCCGCAGGCTGCTGTAATGAACGCAGCTGACTGCTAGATGTTAATGCCAGTCATCCAGCTGTTCTGGTTCCACAATGGCCTCTTGTGGGCAAAAGGCAGAACTGCAGAACTTCTTGGGCAGAATGTATTTTCTGTGGGAAATAAACTCTGCAGTGGACATGAATTCTGCACATGCACAGTGGAGCACAATTGCCTCAGGAGTAAAGGGTCTTGCCCCCAAAGAATTCATAAGCCAAACAGCATACAGGATATGAAGTGACAAAAGCAGTGAATTTTTTCTTGTTAATTATACAATTTTTGCATGATTTTATTTATGGTAAATATTTCAGTTTTTCCCATTTCTAGGCTTAAGGGTGACCCACAAAGGAAAACACAAATTTGTGCCTTTGTTGTTTCTTTTCAACAGACAAAGGTGACATGAAGTGAGGATTTAAGGGTCCCCCCCCTTTTTTTTTTTAACATTAGAAATTCACATCTTGCCTGCTTTATTTTCCCTGAGAGACTCTACGAATAATCGGAAAACTGGTAGAATTATGATATTCCAAATACCAAGCAAGGGAAATCTGATTAAGGCCCAATCCAGTAAACATGTGTGTGAAGTTACTCATGTGAATAAGTGTTTGCAGGATCAGGGCCCGAAAGGAATGGCATTTATCCAGGCTGTTTAAAACTCTTACGTTTGCTTTTGTTAACATCTATTTAGGTAAAACATCCTATAGAGCTTTGAAGATCTAATGGGGAAAAAAATCTGTTAAAGCTTTGACATTCCCCAGTTCTTCACTTAAGGGCTGAGAAAGATCACAATGCACATCTCAGTCTGCAAGCGAATCCCATTCCGAATCCCATTCTGTTCCTTCCTATTCTCCCCCTCCCCCCATCCCGCCTCCTCCCACACACACAAGGACAGGAAAGACTGGACAGTCTAAAAAGATACACAAATGCAGGTTTGGTTAAGATCATAAAAATGGCCATAATGGATCAGACCTATGGTCCATCTAACCCAGTATCCTGTCTTCCAAAAGCGGCCAGCACCAGATGCTTCAGAGGGAGAGAACAGAACTGGGCAATTATCAAGTCCAGTCCCAGCTTCTAGCAAGTTTTTATTTTAAAATTTGAAAACACATGCCAGGTTTTGTTTAGACATCTCAAAGCAGCAAAATCACTTATCCTTTCTTCCCAGCCCCCTTTTCAAGTCCCTTTTAAAGGCAAACCTTGGAAGGTGAAAAATGAGACACAATCAGGGTGGGAGCCCCTGGCATTTGGGGAAGAGACATAGATCCCCCACCCCAATTCATTAGAAAGTACTTAAGAACATAGGATTTGCCACACTGGATCAGATCTGAGGTCCATCTAGTATAGTACTCTACCTCTGACAGAAGTCAGTGCCAGATGCTTCAGAGGAAGGTACAAGAACCCTGTGGTAGGAAGATGTGAAATAAGCTGCCCTCCACATTAGGTCTCATCCTGATCTCTAATAGTTAGACATGGGCTAAAGCCCTGAAGCATGGGGTTTAATATCCCGTCCAAAATAAATCGTATCATTAATTGTAAAGTGTGGCTATCCTTTTTATCTCTATCAACATCCAAAACAGTTTTTGAACCTTGCTAAATTTTGGGATCAAAGACTTCCTGTCACAGCAAGTTCTACAATCTAATTACATGTTGTGCAAAAAGCACTTAGTTCCGCATCTGCCACCTTTTTACTTTAATCAAAAGACTTCTCATTGTGTTAGGAGACAAGAAGGGCAGAAGCTCCTACCTTCGATATAATTTATTATTGTATATACTTTTATCTATCTATCTATTGCTGCCCGTCAACATGGCATCTGAACATCTTCCACATGAAGTCAATAGCAGTAGCACAGTCCCAAGCAGACCATGCAGTCTCTGGCACTTTTCCCTTTTGGGGCCTGGTCTACACTGGGGGGGGGGAAGAAATCGATCTAAGATACGCAACTTCAGCTATGAGAATAGTGTAGCTGAAGTCGCCGTACCTTAGATCGACTTAGAATTACTTACTTCGCGTCCTCGCGGTGCAGGATCAATGGTCGCAGCTTCCCTGTTGACTTTGCTTCTGCCTCTCGCCGAGCTGGAGTTCAGCAGTCGACGGGAGAGCGATCGGGGATCGATTTATCGCGTCTACACTACACGCGATAAATCGATCCCCGATAGATCGATCGCTACCCGCCGATCTGGTGGGTAGTGTAGACGTACCCTGGGAATCAAAACTCTGCTTGGAGCAGGGTGGGGTTTGTTTGTGGGGAGGACGTCTATCATGTCCCTTCTTGTACATCTCCTTTCTAAGGTAAACAATCCAAATCTATTCAATCTTGCTTCATTAAGATTTTTTCCACATCCCTAATTGTTCTCATTGCCCTTTTCTGAACCTCCACTTTATCCTCCTCACTGCAAGTTACTCAATATTTATGTAGGATGGTCAAAAGATATCAAGTAGACCACTTTGCAGCTGCTACGTCAGCCATGTAAGGAGCCCAGCCAGATCCTCAGCCTTTTTAGCAATCCCAACAAGATTGACAGATAGATGAAGATCCCCCCCACCCCCTTTAAAAAAAATAAAAATAATATAAATGGAGGTTCAATGGAGGTTTGGGAAAATACAGGAAAGGTTTCCCAGACTCAAAAGTCTGAGGACCATAATAAAGGGGTTATGGATTGACAATGAGACAAAATACTCTCAATTTTTATAATGTGCTATGAGCCCATTTCTTACCAAGTTCCACTTCAATTGTATTGTTTCTTGGATAAAGAATTTCAGTTTTCTTCTTCAGTGGGGTCTCTAAAAATTAAAAAAAAAAAATGCATAAATACAAAATTTTATCAGACATAATCACAAGTAATGGCAAGGACATTTAGTACAGCACTAGTTTAGAAATAGCACTAACAGGCAGGAGTGGTTTATAGATGAACTGCAAAACAAGAACACACAACTTTTGCCTGAAGCCCTTACTGTTCCTTTGCAATAAAAAGAACCTCAACCCTTTTCAAAAAGTATTTTTCTATATGTTTGTTTTGCATTTGCTTGTTCTTTTCTTTCTGAAGAACTTCCATAAAAACCAACAAACCGACCGAGAAAAGAAGGGGAAGAGGTAAAACACATTAACAGTTACAGTATTCCAAAATATCAACAACCATTCACTCTCCCTGCTCCATCCCTATTTGTAGTGACCAGGATAACAGTTCCCTACTTAATCCAGACCAAAAAAAAAAAAAAAAAAAAAGAACTACATCAAGTTAAGTACCAGAAATACTTGCAAATACCTTAACAATATTAGTTTTGTAGAAAAATCAGAACCGTTTCCTTGTCAAATAGTTGTGCTTAATTTGTGATGGGTGACAGGGTCAACCCAAACTTATGCTAATAAAATCTTTATACTGTGGGGAAATAGAGCAGGGGGGCCTTCTTTTTAATAGCCAGAGCTGTGAATCTGAAGGCCTTGAAATAAACCCTCCAACAGAGATCTGTTATGCTGACTGCCCTTAAACAGAAAGCAGTACAGGCCAGGGCCCAGGCCAGGGCCTGAACTAGACTAAACTGCACAATTCCCTGCCAAACTCGGTCAAGGGTCATGACCGGGGGGGGGGGGGGGGGGGGGGGGCAAGGAGGGAAAGAATAAAAAGCCCCAGCAGCAGCTCTAATGAAATATGTTCATGGCTGATGAAATATAATAACCACTTGTGTGAAGCAATAGGTAATTTTAGCTAAATGCAATTTCTTAACTCATGCAGCTTCTCCTTTGGGTGATCTGTGACCCACTCCGTGATTCCAGCTATCTGGAAAAATAGCCAATCATAGATCCTCTTTAGGCGTCCCATGGAACCCCCCCCCCCCCCAATCTTTAACCAAAAGACCCCGGAAAATAACATGTGTCTTGAGAAATGTACCCAAACTGGTGCCAAGTACCACCCCTGGGGAAAACCACCAAGCGCCCCTCTACCCAAATAAACACCCACTTCTCGGAAATTAATGAGGAAGGTACCGGGGGGGGGACGGGACTGACCCCAACCCTAATTTCTTAACTCATGACGTATTGTTTGTACTTTGCTTGAGGTTTAATGAAATAAAAACCCGCCTGCGAGCGGTCCTCAGGGTGTCAGTCTTCGGACTGCACCCCAGTGCACTGGTATGTCTGTCAATAAACTGGCGTCAGGCTTGAGTCTGTAAACTAAAATCAATGTGTGGGTGTCTTTGACCACGACAATACCCTGTCACTCCATCCCATTTCTTATTCCTACAGGCCCCAGCATGCCAGACACTGTACAGACACATAGTAAGAGACAGTCCTTTCCCCTAAAGACTTTATGATCTAAGCAGACAAGACAGGCATAGGGCGGGAGGGAAAAGAGAGGAACAGAAGTGAAGCAACTTGCTCCAAGCCATGCAGCGCCATGATTAGAACCCAGGTCTCTGAAGACCCAATCCAGTGCTAGAGCTCCTGGACCACAGTGGCTCCACAAAGGATTAGTTAATTATAATTCACTTTAGCATTACAATTATGGCTATAGTGCTCCAGGTGTGAACAACAGTACAGTAGATACTGCTTAGTAACAACCTGGAGAACAACCACTTTTGGTTAGCAGAAACATTTTGTTAATTGGTTTGTATACTGGCAACAGGCACACCCACTACTGAAAACAGTTTTTGTGGAAAGCCCCAGCTGCAGGAAGGTTTGCAGCCAGGGTAGGAAGGACTGGGATGTGTCTTCCCCAGCTGCAGGCCCCCAAACCTACTTGTGGCTGGTGCTCGGCCTGTCCCAGCGCCTCCTTCCAGGGGCAGTGGACGAGAAGTAGCCAATTCATGGGATGAGTTTACTTTACTTATTTTATAGATTAATTTAAATAAAAAACCACAGTCAAAGGCAGTAGCTTCAAAAAAGTAGGGGTAAATAAACAAAGGCAGTGATTATTAAAAATAACCTCACAAACACACTGGAGAAAGCAGCAGTTTAAAATACTATTAGAAAAACTTGCAAATGAAGTGAATACTTTAAGAATGTGGAAAGGTAATGGCTACAAAAATAGGTTTTAAGAACAAGAATAAATATGTATTTATTTTTAAGAAGGTGAGAAATAAAAACACAAATCAGCAAAGTAGGAAAAGGGGATCATACAGAAAAATGAATCTAACTCATCTGGCCAGATCTTCAGCTGCTGTCATTTGTGCTGCTCTGAGGGCCAAGGCAGCCCAAAATCTGCTCTTCAAGAGAAGCTAGAAATTGCCCTGGCATAAAACTGGCAAAGCTAACTCTGCACCATGCACTCCAACCTTACTGTGTGTGGGCAGCACGTGGGCAAGGGAAGGGTGGGGCCAGAGTATATGGTAGAGTGGTCACCTGGGACAGGGCCTATTTTATCACCAGAATCAAGGGAATGGGAAGATGGCTTTAGAGTCTTTTCCTCTCCTCAGCTGGGGATTATTTAGCCAACCAAATTGAGCACTAGTTAGACCACCGGATCTTACCGCTGAGAATTTTCCTTCCTCTGATTGTTTCTTAAACACAACTATCACATCCTGTCTTAAAATCAGGACCTGTCTATGTTGAGAGTATTTGTACTGGTGCAGCTGCACTGATGCAAGCCCCCAGTGTAGATGCACTGTACCAGTATAAAACAGAGCTTGCGCTGGGGGGTTTGCATTAGTGCTGTGGCACCAATACAAATGCTCCCAGTTTCAAATCATGGTAAGCCACACTAGTGCAAGCCTCATTTTACACCAGAGAAGTGCATTTCCCCTGGAGTTTGCTTCAATATTTAGTACTAGTGCTGTTACACCAGTACATCCATCCCCAGTTTAGAACAGGCCCTTATATTGTAAACTAATCCAGACAAGGCCAGTGTTTTCCTGTGTGTTTGTATAGCTCCTAGCACAATGGAACCCCAAATCCTGACTGGAATCTCTATTTATTTTACTGTAATACTAACAAACCAAAATAATATTAATAGTGTTTTTCAGTCTTCTGGCTCTCCCTTAAGTTTAAAGTTATAAAAGAATTACTAACAAACGATATCTTAGTTGTCCGATTTGGCATTCCTTTGAATCCACACTAACCAATGAATTGACTGAAACTTATGGATTTGCAAAAAAAGTAACATTGAACTCTACAAATGCACCAAAGAATAAAAACGAGACTTACCTATAACAGTTACATAAATGTTTCGTGAAATGTTATATTCTTTTTCCATATAATTATATGTCATCTTGCAGGAGTAATTTCCTGAATCATTTACATTTGCACTATTTATTATGAGATCATCATCCCGATTTAGAAATCTTTCATTGTCAATCAGATTACATTCCTAAACACAACAAAAAGTGCTCTGTTAAATCACAGAGAATAAGAATACAGTACTAAAAAAAATATCAAATTCAAATATTCCCTCCCATGGAATGTGGCAAGATAATTTCACCAGTTGGGTTCAATATGAATCTTATGTTAAAACTAGGGTTGTCGATTAATCGCAATTAACTCACGCAATTAACTCAAAAAAATTAATCGAGATTAAAAAATTTAATCACGATTAATTGCAGTTTTAATTGCACTGTTTAATAAATTTCAATTGGTATTGTATTGTTTAATATTTTTGGATGTTTTTCTACATTTTCAAATATATTGATTTCAATTACAACACAGAATACAAAGGGTACAGTTGTCACTTTATAATATTTTTATTACAGATATTTGCACCGTAAAAAATGATAAAATAAATAGTATTTTTCAATTCACGTCATACAAGTACTGTAGTGCGATCTTTATCTTGAAAGTGCAACTTACAAATGTAGATTTTTTTTGTTAAACAACTGCACTCAAAAACAAAACAAATGGGGGGTAAAGCTTCAAAGCCCACAAGTCCACTCAGTCCTACTTTTGTTCAGCCAATCGCTAAGACAAACAAGTTTGTTTACACTTACGGGAGATAATGCTGCCCTCTTCTTATTTACAATGTTACCAGAAAGTGAGAACAGACATTTATTTGCATGGCACTTTTGTAGCCAGCATTGCAAGGTATTTACATGCCAGATATGCTAAACATTCGTATGCCCCTTCATGTTTCGGCCACCATTCCAAAGGACATGCTTCTATGCTGATGACGCTCATTAAATAAATAATGCGTTAATTCAATTTGTGACTGAACTCCTTGGGGGGAGAACTGTATGTCTCCTGCTCTGTTTTACCCGCATTCTGCATATATTTCATGTTATAGCAGTCTCGGATGATGACCCAGCACATGTTGTTCATTTTAAGAACGCTTTCACTGCAGATTTGACAAAACGCAAAAAAGGTACCAATGTGATATTTCTAAAGATAGCTACAGCACTCGAACCAAGATTTAAGAATCTGAAGTGCCTTCCAAAATCTGAGAGAGACAAGGTGTGGAGCATGCTTTCAGAAGTCTTAAAAGAGCAACACTCCGATGAGGAAACTACAGAACCCAAACAATCAAAAAAGAAAAATCAACCTTCTGCTGGTGGCATCTGACTCAGAGGATGAAAACGAACATGCGTCAGGCCGCACTGCTTTGGATTGTTATCAAGCGGAACCCGTCATCAGCATGGATGCATATCCCCTGGAATGGTGGTTGAAGCATGAAGGGAATATGGCTACCAAGACAGAACTCAGTGCTGCAATGGGCTCAGCATCCTCAACTCACATTGAAGTCTGGCTACATCAGGCCACCCTCTTCAAGAACACAGCCACCCTACCGTGAAACTACCTATACATGTTGGATATTTTTGTTAAGGTCCCCTTTTTTGTTTGATATGAGGGAAGGGGAAGATGAAATCACCTTCAAAACAATAGGCCCCTTGAGTGTCATGTGGGCAGCTAAAATAGACACGCTTATCTACACTTTATTATAGTAATTTCACCACAACATACAAGTCTCCTCACAGGTACATCCCGTGTCACAGAAAAAAAATCATATGATCTATTCTGTCTCCCCACCCTCCATTATCAATTCTAAACATCAGTTAAAACACAAAACAGTGGCTGAAAATGAAATAGGGGACAGACCCTACCTTATACCAGTGAATGGGTAAAGTATTTTTCTCATCTCTGAAATAGTCTAGATGAGGACACACAATCTTTGCATTTGATGATGCTGATATCTCTTGAGCATAGAGAAAATCCCCATTAAAACACAAACCAGCAGTATTTTTGAAAACGATTACACTGAAATATATTTTCTTGCAGCTTGTTAAATTCCTGTAATGAAAACAAAGCAGCTGAATTACACTTCTAATTTTTCATATTTATATCCTTTTCATACTGCTGCCCTTTCTCTTTGGCCAGTTCTAATGAAGCTTTAATATCAGGCTGGAAAGTTGGGAACATAGTTCCCCCCCCAGAAGCAAATCCATTGCTGTCTAGCAGACCGACTGTCAGGGGTCCTGTAACAAGACTTTCCTACCCCGCTCCCCTCCCCTCCCCCAGCTCTACTTTCCTAGCATCAATTCCTTCATTCATTCCATAATCCATGAAACTCATACGATTACCAAAAAAAAAAAAAGAAGAGAAGAGAAGACTACGTGGTCAGGTATGACATTGCACAAAATGTTACTTGTATCTATGAACAAATTAAGAGAGAGATCCTGAGGGGCAACTAAGCTGCACAGAATGCAGATCAGCATGTACACACACATGGCGTAAAGCTCTCCGTTGCACTCCTCCAAATCTGGTGTGCCGCGCCAATCCCCCTTCCAAGTTACAGCAGCCTTCAAGCTGATCTAATTTAAGGCTGCAAAGAAGGGGAAAAAAGCGTTGGTGTGGTGTAAGGGTCATCTAGCTATGCTTCCTCTTCAGCTATTCTGGCAGCAAGGAAAGGTAATAACCTAAGAGCCCCTACACTGGCTTTATATCACCAGAAAATTGTCCTTACATTGGCGTGATCTTCCCTGAGCTGCTTATGCCAGCTTTATGACCAGAAGATTTTTGGGTCAGAGTCCACTAGTGGTGCAAGACCAGCTGCTGCACTATACCAGAGAACCTGGCTCTCAGTGTCCTTTTCTTTGGGTCTGCCTAATTACTTCAGACTGTCAATGAACTGACTGTTTTAAAAGTCTGAGGCCTGGTCTACACTAGGCGTTTATGTCGACTTTAGCGCCGTTACATCGAATTAACTCTGCACCCGTCCACACCACGAGGCCATTTAGTTCGACATAGAGCTCTCTTTAAATCGATTTCTGTAATCCTCCCCAACGAGAGGAGTAGCGCTAAATTCGAAATGGCCATATCAAATTAGGCTAGGTGTGGATGGAAATCGACGCTAATAGCTCCGGGAGCTATCCCACAGTGCACCACTCTGTTGACGCTCTGGACAGCAGTCCGAGCTCGGATGCTCTGACCAGCCACACAGGAAAAGCCCCGGGAAAATTTGAATTCCTTTTCCTGTCTGGGCAGTTTCAATCGCAGTTTCTGTTTGGACACCGTGGCGAGCTCAGCAGCAGTGGCAAAGATGCAGAGCTCTCCAGCAGAGATGGCCGTGCAATCCCAGACTAGAAAGAGGGCCCCAGCATGGACTGATCGGGAAGTCTTGGATCTCATCGCTGTGTGGGGCGATGAGTCCGTGCTTGCCGAGCTGCGCTCCAAAAGACGGAATGCAAAGATCTACGAGAAGATCTCTAAAGCCATGGCAGAGAGAGGATACAGCCGGGATGCAACGCAGTGCCGCGTGAAAATCAAGGAGCTGAGACAAGGCTACCAAAAAACCAAAGAGGCAAACAGACGCTCCGGATCCCAGCCCCACACATCCCGTTTCTACCAGACACTGCATTCCATCCTAGGTGCGGCCGCCACCACTACCCCACCAGTGACCGTGGACTCTGAGGATGGGATATTGTCCGCGGCCGGTTCCTCGTCGGACATGTTAGCGGACGGGGAAGATGAAGAAGGAGATGAGGAGGACGAGGCAGTCGACAGCGCTGGCACCGCTGATTTCCCCGACAGCCAGGAGCTCTTCATCACCCTCACAGAGATCCCCTACCAACCGTCCCCCGCCGTTACCCCAGACACAGATTCAGGGGAAGGATCAAGCAGTAAGTGTTTTAAATATCTTAACATTTATTTATAACAGAACTTGCATATTTTAAATATTAACAATAACTAAAGTGCTTTCAAGTATGTAAACTTTTATTTATAACAGAACAGGAAGATTTGAAATATTAACAATGGGTAAAGTGCTTCTAAACATGTAAACAGGAAAGTGCAACAAAACGGGAATCTGAACAAAGGGTATCATGATTATTGTGTCTTTGGCCGCTTCAATGTATAGTCCGAACCATTTTAAGAAAATTCAACAATGTCCACTTCATGATTACACTGCCCAAGACGCTCCACTCTTTTGTCCCTCCAAGGGCACCTAACCCAAAAACTGGTCGACGTGTCCGGGGATAGAGGCGAAATCCTCCTGGGAGAACTCCTCATAGGCCTCCTGCAGGTGTCTTTCCAGCCTAATTATCAGGTTCCTGGGCAGGGAGAGCTTATTAGGCCCCCCGTGGTATGACACGTTTCCATGCCACAACGCCAGCAGGTATTCGGGGATCATGGCCTTGCACAGCATAGCAGCAAATGGCCCCGGTTTCTGCAGGCTGTCCCGAAGCATCTTCTCCTTCTGGCTCTCCGAGACCCTCAGGAGGGTGATGTCTGGCATGACGCCCTGCTTTGAATTAGGTAGGGGACAGTTAGTATTGGGACTGCTTGCCCGTTCCTTTACAGAACGGTAACCGCCGGTTTACAGCCACGCGGTTTACAGCCGCGAGGGGGTGGGACAGGGACAGAGTTCATGCTTGCAGGATTGCTGCCAGCAGAGACTCGCATTGCTTTCTATGTGAAAGGAGGCCAGTGCCACTCTTAAAGTTTTAAGCAGCCACAAATCTACGGCTTACCATGTTTGCCAGCTAGATAAAGTTCGGTGTCCTGCCCCGCTCCTCAGCTCGCCACAGCAAGGCCACAGGCACTGTAGGCGAGGGCCGAAAATTCGACCTTGTCCTCAGTGCGCGTGTGATAGGTGCTCTGCATGGTCTTGTTCACAGAGAAAGACTATGTTCTCTGTTCACAGATACATTGATCTGTCTCAGGAATTCACTCCCTTTTTCCAATTCCCACAGCCACATCTGCCCAGAGGCTAGCGCACATTAGGAGGAGGAAGAAGAGGACACGGGAAGACATGTTTGCTGAACTAATAGGATGCTCCCGAGCACAGGCAGCCCAGCAGACACAGTGGAGGGAGAACTTGTCCCAAATGCACCGGGCAAACATGGAACGGGAGGAGAGGTGGCGACAGGAGGACCAGCAGGCGACTCAAACGCTGCTTGGACTAATGAGGGAGCAAACGGACACGCTCCGCCGCCTTGTGGATGTTCTGCAGGACCGGAGGCAGGAGGAGAGAGCCCCGCTGCAGTCTCTCTCTAACCGCCCTCCCCCGCCACCAAGTCCCACACCCCCCTCACCCAAAGTCCAAAGAAGGAGGGACGGCAAGGGCCGTTAAAACTTTCTGTCAACCCCTGCAGACTGCTAAGGCACTAGAAGGCTCTCATTCCCCAAAATTTGAAAAGTCCTTTCCTACCCACCTCACACAAGCCCCCGTGCAAGTTTCACCCCCCACGTTTAATGTGTGGTTCATAATAAAATATTTGTTCCTGTTCATTACTGTTTCCATCCTGTTCTTTTGGAGGAGAGTCTGTCTGAAGGGGGGGAAGGGGCTTGGTAATTGGACAGGAAAGTCACCTTTAGCAGAGTACAGAGGCGGGGTCAGGTCCAGCATCAGGACACATACACAGTGCAGTCACTGGTTACCCTGGTCAGTCTTGGAGGTGGTTTTCATGTTCTGGGGGGGGGGGGTTGCTCTGTGACTTTGTGGCGGGGGAGGGCAGTTACAGATCTTATGCAGCGGTCCTTATTCTGGCTCACAGATCCACGCAGCAGGGGATCTGTAACCCTACTCCCCCTGCCAGAAAGTCACATAGCCGACACATACACGCAGTCCCCCCCAGGAGTGCTGGCAGGCTCCATTGAAATAACCAGTGCACCAGTGCGGAGCCTGTCATTCCGGGAGTTTAGAAGCATCATTTGCATCAGAACACTAAACCCGCCCCCCGCCACAGTCTGCGTCCCCAGTTTAAAACATTCCCGCGAAAACAGCAATACAGACAACGGTGTTCATTAACAAAGTAGAACAGATTTTATTTTTTGGGAAGGGGAAGGGGGTGAAGGGGGTATGTAAGTGGAGAGGATAGTCAACATAAACTGGGTAAAGAAACGGGGGCAGGTTCAGCTTCTCTTTAAACAAAGTTAATAGTCACAGGTTACCCTGCTCACTGAGGAACCTAGCTTTCAAAGCCTCCCGGACGCACAGCGCGTCCCGCTGGGATCTTCTAATCGCCCGGCTGTCTGGCTGGACGTAATCAGCAGCCAGGCTACTTGCCTCAACCTCCCACCCCGCCATAAAGGTCTCCCCCTTGCTCTCACACAGGTTGTGGAGCACACAGCAAGCTGCTATAACAATGGGGATATTGGTTTCACTGAGATCACAGCGAGTGAGTAAGCTTCTCCATCTCCCTTTGAGACGGCCAAAAGCACACTCCACGACCATTCTGCACTTGCTCAGCCGGTAGTTGAACAGTTCTTTTTCTGTGTCCAGGGCGCCAGTATAGGGCTTCATGAGCCAGGGCATTAGCGGGTAGGCTGGGTCCCCGAGGATCACTGTAGGCATCTCCACATCCCCAAGAGTTATTTTGTGGTCCAGGAAGTAAATACCTTCCTGCAGCCGTCTAAACAGACCAGAGTTCCTGAACACGCGAGCGTCATGAACCTTGCCCGGCCATCCGACGTTGATGTTGGTAAAACGTCCCCTGTGGTCCACCAGTGCTTGCAGCACCATTGAAAAGTAGCCCTTTCTGTTTATGTACTGGCTGGCCTGGTGGCCCGGTCCCAGGATAGGGATGTGAGTCCCATCTATAGCCCCACCGCAGTTTGGGAATCCCATCGCAGCGAAGCCATCTATGATGGCCTGCGCGTTTCCCAGGGTCACTACCTTTGACAGCAGTACCTTCACGATTGCCTTGGCTACTTGCAGGACAACAACCCCCACGGTAGATTTGCCCACGCCAAAGTGGTTCGCGACTGACCGGTAGCTGTCCGGCGTTGCAAGCTTCCAGAAGGCTATGGCCACTCGCTTCTGGACAGTCAGGGCTGCTCGCATGCGGGTGTCCTTGCGCTTCAGGGCAGGGGACAGCAACTCACAAAGTTCCAGGAAAGTCCCCTTCCGCATGCGAAAGTTTCGCAGCCACTGGGATTCATCCCAGACCTGCAGCACTATGCGGTCCCACCAGTCCGTGCTTGTTTCCCGGGCCCAGAATCGCCGTTCAACAAAATCCACATGCCCCATTGCAAACGTGATGTCCTCGGCGCTGGGTGTCGTGGTTTCTGACAGGCGTGTGCTACTCTCGGAGTTCAGGTCCTCACTCCGCTGCCGTAGCCTCCTCGCCTGATTTCTCTCTATCTGCCTCTGTGAAAGGTGGATGATGAGCTGCGAGGCGTTGACAACGGTCACAACTGCAGCGATGGTCGCAGCGGGATCCATGCTCGCGGTGCTGTGGCGTCCGCGCTGTCACTGACCAGAAAAGTGCGCGAACTGATTTCCCGCCAGCGCTTTCAAGGAGGGAGGGAGGGCGGGAGTGACGATTGGATGACGACAGTTACCCAAAAGCACCCTCGACACATTTTTTCCCCCAGAAGGCATTGGGGGCTCGACCCAGAATTCCAATGGGCAGCGGGGACTGCGGGAACTGTGGGATAGCTGCCCACAGTGCACTGCTTCCAATGTCGACGCTTTCCCTGGTAGTGTGGACTGACAAAGTCGAATTACTGTCCTTGGTGTGGACACACACGTTCGACTTTCTAATATCGATTGCAAATATTCGATTTAACTAAAATCGAACTACTCTCGTAGTGTAGACATACCCTGAGAGAATTTGTTTGCTAGTAGTGTTTTAATTAGCAAAAATTCCTCCAATCCCTGAAAACACACAGCAAACAAACACTGTTCGAACTGGGGTATGAACCTCCTATGTGCAAATCATGAATGAACGTCATCATACCCTGGCTACTGGCCTTCAAACAGTATCCAGGCAACTGGCTTATGCTGAAGAAACAAATATGATTACTGAATTTCAGGGGCCCAGGAGAATGCTGTAGCTGGGAAAGAATACATCAATTTGGATCAGCTCTTAGTTCTTCAAGGGCCAGAACAGGGAAGGATTTCTGGGACCATGGCTACATCTGGATTACAACTGAAAATTAAGGCTGGACATGGTTTTCTGGAGGCCTGAAGCGGGTTAGGATGGGCATGAGTTTTTAAAGCTGGGCAGCAGGACCGGGGTGCACCTCTTGGGGGAAAAAAATCACTGGGGCAGATCCTCCACTGTTGCAATTTGTCATGACTCCATTGAAGTAATTGGAACTACAGCAATTAATACCAGCTGAGGATTTGCCACCATTGTATCGTATCATCATATCTGAATAAACACAAACCTTATGATATCATGGCTAGGGCTGGTTGAAAGTGTTTCATCTGAAAGTTTTTCAAGGAAAAGTGCTTTTCATTACAACTTTTTGCAGCGTTTGTAATTTTCTGATTTTCAACTACATGAAATAAAAGATTTTATTACCAAGAAACAAACTTTACTCCATTAAATTCCAATCGAAATGAAAATGTTTTATTTCCAATAATTTTCTTTTAAAAAAAATCAAAATTATAAAAAAATTTCAAATTAAAAAAAAATTTCCTTTAGTTTGAAAGTTTCCATAGAAAATAATTCGTATTTTCTGACCAGCCCTAATCATGAAGTCGTATCAGCGATGAATGTACTTGGGATTCTTTTCCAATAAAGTGTAACAGCCTCATCAAAATCAGCTCTGCTGTAAATCAAGATGAATAGCCCTGTTTTTAATATGAACCATAAGCGTTTGTGAAGGGAAAACTACAAGCTAACCCCAGACTTAATATCAGAAAAATAATTCAGATATTTGTTTAATTATTCTTTTTCAAGCTCACATCTACAACAATGTAGCTTTGGTAAAAAATCAAACCAAAGGAAAAACACATTCTTACCACATGACACATTCATAGGATCCTGAGTCTTCTAAAATTGCAGGCATAAACCAAAGCAAGTTCTCGTGCTGATGTATTCTGGAAAGTTTCACTTGAGTTACAGGCATTTTTCTCCCACTTTTATACCAAGTCAAGCTGTAATTCATGTGCTGAAGAGCCAGTGTTTTATCTAACAAACAATCAATAGTAAGAGGTTCTCCTACCAGTACAGATACCAAACTTTGACTATGCAGCACATCATGTACCATGCATTCCTCTAAAAAACATGATAGAGACAAAATAAAAAAAAAGACATGAGTATAGAACTATGGAGACAAATTTGTCTATTTCTTTAATAGGTTTTCAATATTCATCCTTAAAAATACTCTTGTGGGACAGGCAACTCCAGCATCTATAAACTAAATGATATCCTATAACTATACACAAAAATTCTGTTAGAGAAATTCTAATCACAAAGAAGTCACAGAGTTCCCCAGCAATGTGAAATCTGACTATTTTATGTGAAGGAATTAGAGAATATCATTAAAAATTGTCAGCTTCAATGTCAGAGCCAAATTCCAGTTTAAGTACCGGTAATTATATTTTGCCTGTCTAGAATGCCCCACACTGAGTTTAGATTGCATATTTTGTTTCACCTCCCTTTTTGCACTGAGTTGGAATTTCAAAAGGATTAAATAGCAACTTACCTCTGCTCTCATTGAAGTTAACGGGAGCTTACCATTGGCTTTGATGAGAGTAGAGTTAGGTTAATAGAGAGTACTTTTGGAAAATCTCACCCTACATTGTTTTGTAGCAGTACTGTCCAGTCTTCAATTATTCCATTAGACCAAGCAATAAATGACTAGTTTAGCCAGCATCAACTCTCATTCTGAAATATGCTGAATGCAAGAGGAGCATGCCAGCTTCCAGGAAACAGTAATTATTTTCTACCTGACTTTTTCCATCCCAATGTGCAGAAACCTGATCACAAAATATTGCTGCAAAGGTCCTT